ATTACAACAAAACGAAATACTAAACTATTCGAAATACGAAATAATTAAGTGATGTAATTTAGTATTTTCTTATCATAAATAATCATTGTTCAGAGGTAAATAATTATTACTAAATGAAATAATTATTCCAAACCCCAAAGGCAATTTCATATAATTTTGTACTTTCATATAATTAAATTTTGAAGTTCGAAACATTTAATTTTATTTATAAATCAGTACTCATTAAACATAAATTAAAAAAAGATGTCCAGGAAAACAATCAGATACCCATATTTGGTCTGATTGCACCTTAATTTTTTACAAAGCAAAAGTCTCGACTTATAAAATAAAATATTCTTTCTGTTTACAAAAAAATAATCTATTAGTCATTTTTTTTACCATGTTTAACTGAGATTTTTTTTTATATTTAATTAGCTCACTAGCATTGCAATGTAAAATAAAACCAAAGATTGGAGAAAAGTTCATCGACCTTCGTCGCCCTTGGAGGATTAAACCTACCACACTGGACATCGAAATGCATGCCCTTTCGCGAAGCTGTATGACCGCTGGACATACTCATTACATAAAACTAGTTACGCCGCGTCATGTGCACATTACGACCCGGCACGTGGACTGGTTCCCGAAAACTCCCTATTTGGATTGGATCGATTGCTCTAGATTTTTCTCAGAATCCTTTTTATTGTTGAGGGCTGCGATTTGCTAAATTACGGCATCATTGGTTCACGTCGATGTCCCACATAAAGCCACCGTTACCTATTAAAGGGCATTTCGGATTTTACAAGTGTTTAATGAACAATAACTTCATGGTACTGCCGATATTTACCACACCTATTACTGGCATGCGTAATTAAGATAATGCCTGTATATTAATTTTTTATTAAGTTTTCATAGTGCATTTAATGACATCACTGCATTTAATGACATTATTATTTGAAGAAAAATGAAAGAAAACTCTTTCGCCACTGCGGGAGTCGAGTTCCATAGTCGCGTTTTCGCAATTTAAGCAATTCTTGACGCACCTATTATTATGTCCTTTACACCACACTAACAATTTCAAATGACCATATGACGCATATGAACGAGAGACGCCTTTGCCATTCAAATTTAAGTTTTTATAGAGTTAATCTCTGCACTTAAGTATAATAATTATTTCCCGCAGTGGCAAATAAATTTTTGTCAATGTTTTTTACAAATTTTAATGCCTATATTATTTAAAAGAAAATAAATTTGTAATAATGATTTCAGAGTTCAATCGTATCGCTTATTCTGTCTGGATTTCAATTATGGCGCCTCCGGTTGGTTTAATACTCCACGGGGCTTACAGACACAATACTTTGACAGGGCGATTCGTCATGCTCTCTATGATTAAAAATCTATTCAACCTAATTTCTTACATAATAGGCACCGCCGACTCCATCCGATTCATGTAAATAATATAAACCTATTAGAAACGGTCACGTTTTAACATTTTTAATATACCATTATTTATTAGTTGAACTGGTTATGGGGCCTTTAAAATGGGAGTAAAATCAAGTTTAGGCGTTTTATAATTTTTGATGAACATGAATAAAGTAATATTAAACTTGCGCCCTCGAGATCTTTGCATTAGCATGGTTCATTTTATACAATGTATTTATAAAACAGATAAATGAAACATTATTTCTTGTTTTAACGCGAATTATACATGCTTGGGATCCCAAAGTGAATATATAAAATGAAATTCAAGCACACCAACACTTCTAGAACTCGAGATAAGGTCCTTTTTCATAGATCAGAATAAAAGTAAATAATAAGATAATTGACGGTAGCCTGCGTTAACCAAAGTTCACGTTCAAGTTAAACGGGACAGACTCCTCGTTTGACGTCCTAATGTCAAAACATTAGGACGTCAAACGAGGAGTCTGTCCCGTGCTCTCATGGTCCCTTTCCAGCTATGCTGGGTTCGAAATGTCGGGGGTTTAAAAATCGAATTAAAACTCTCACTGGATTTTTTTAACCTTTGCTGCCCATCTTTGGCTGCCATATACGTATACCTAAGCCAATACATTGAAAAGAACTAAGCGAAGCTCATGGAACATGCAGTGAGATAAAAACAAGACTTGTAGACTTATTTGAAATAATAAACTGCGTGATAGGTTCTTAATTGAAAGTAGTATTGAAACATGTCATAAACTAATTTTCTCATTAAATTTTCTCTGGGTCTATGTTTTTCTTTTAAATAGACTGTAAAGTATTGAAAACTTTAAAAATAAATCGAATAATTTATAGTGAAAAACACTTGGTGTTAACAAATGGAAGCACCCATGTTGATGCTATTCTTCGTCGGACACATGTGTCTTCACAAAAAAATCTATTTCGCTAACAAGGAAGCGACAAGAGGGGTGCATAAAAATTTCGAACACTTATTATCTTATCGCTTTGTGATGAATGTTTTTTACTAGTGGGAAATCTTAGGTACCATTTTATCTCGCACATGGCACGTAATTACTTTCACCCCTAGATATTTCAAGTCGTTTACAGAATAAAATTTAAGACATACCATATCTTCCCTTTTTCGCCACAGAATAAAATTTAAGACATACCATATCTTCCCTTTTTTAAGATAAAAACGACTCTAGCACTGGGACATAACACCTGTGTCAGGGAGGTTTCAAAAATACTAAAATCACGAACGCGATTACACCCAAACCCGAAAAACCTTTTCTTTTTTGTGAGAAGGTGTCAAGCTGGCGATTCACCTCATGTTAAGTGACAATCGCCACCTATGGATATCTTCAAGTAGGTTTGCAGATGCGTTGCAGCCTGTTAAGAAAGTCGGGTTACCGCTCACACCAAATGAAGCGCAGAACTATAATACTTCTATGCGGCCGTGATACTTCCGCGGACGGACCTACCCGTTCGTGCAACAGCGAAGACTTTCGCGTGGCTCTACCACAGTTATGGTGATTATCACCCATGTGCGAATCGAGCCAGAAGCTGCCGTTGCTTCCTTCCTCAGTTTTTACATGAAGTTTGTTGTTCTTAGTTAACACAAGTTAGTTCCACTAACGATATTAATAGGAAATATTTCAAAACTTATATCAATATGTAATAGATTTAAAACGTTTATGTTATTTATTATTGTAATTTTTGTTAAAAATATCTTCAATAACATTTGAATAATAACAATTGATTGAAATTTTGGTACCAATAAAAATGGCTTCATTTTTTACCCTCCAAATATACAGCAGAAAAAAACGAGGGGAGATCAGAAAGGGGGAGTAAAACGGGCTGATATCATCAGTCGAATAATGTCGATAATAAATTGCACTAAAATTTCATTAAATTATTTACATAGTTTTACATGTTTACATTATTTATGTGAAGAAATAGCATACGGATTTTTGGTAAATTCATAAAATTTAAGCTGTGAATTAAATTCCAATAATTAGTGCACATTAATAGAAATGACACGTAATATATGTTAAAGCTAACAGTTTAGTATTTGTATAAATTTGCAAGCATTCATAGATAAAATTGTATTTACAACATTGGGTATCCAATTGAGCGCAGGTGCTCAAATAATACAATACTTTGCCGCAAAGTGTTAGATAAATGTCCTTGTGTCACATATTGAGAGCAAAAAAGGGATTTTTGGAACCAAATTGTAAAAAAAATCGAAAATAAATTAATCTGGGAAGCAGCATACGGCCTTAGTCCCGTTACAATCCGTACATTTTTAGCTTTGAACATCTTTTTTATATATCTAGGTTTGTATATCTTTTTTGAATATTTAAAGATCAAAACTACTTAGACTTCTCTCTTAACTTAACAGTGATCCGTGTTAATAGGACGTAAAGGAAATAATACCAGGATTCTAATTACTTTGATAAATTAACAACCAGTTATACAAGATCAAAAATTATGTCTACGGGTTAAGAATACGGCACTATAGGTATCAATCAAATCAGAGCGTTGCAAGGGCGGTCATAACAAATCATTGCAGCGGCCAGACGGTCAACGAGCTCTTTACGAGGCGTTTCCCAGTGTTGATGATGATTTAGATGCAAGAAATATCGAGCGGAAATGAACAGATAAACCGCGGGAATGGCTCCGTTGCCATGGAGACGCGCCAAGGGTAAAACTGCCAGCCACCCTCGCGACTCTATCTTTCCGGATTCTTATCGTCGCTATCCTAATGAATTGGTCTGGAACGCATGCAATAACTTGCGAACGCAATAAAACCATGTTACGGGAATTTATATCGTTTCTTCAAAAGCTGTTGCTCCGTTGCTTTGTTAAAAAAAAATTATGTTACATTCGAACTGTGAACCGGGGAAAATATTAACAGTAAAAATCATAATTTCGTATAATATTTGTACGTGTCACAAGCGTTACGCAACTGTGGTGTGATGATTTTACTGTTCCGTCCATGCAAAGAAAAATCCTTTTCCATCTTGTACAGACCGAGCTCGGAAAGTAATACTTTGCTTCGTTCATAACCCCAATATATGCCAGGCCAACACATGATATATTGGCGTCGGTTACTGCGTTGATCGTCACTTACCCTTATCGTAGTCCATGTCATTTTGGATCCATTGCCCTCGATTCGTCGCTTCGAAAATATTTAAGGTTGACTTTAGCATACGCTAGTGTGGTGCCTTTTATATGATTCATTTGCCATGTCTGTGTGTTACGACTACGCCAATAAGCTCTATAAAGTGCTAAGAGGAAATAAAAAATAACATTCGAATAATTGACTGTTTTTGCAAAACTTTCATTCATTGTCACGAATTAAATTTTAGGGTACGGGATTATTTTACCGTATCAACAAAACTCTGTTAAAACCCACCAAAAAATTTATCTAACTCAATTATAAAATTCATTCTAAAAGTATACATTTATATCATAATCTGATAACACTTCTTTAGTCATTACTATTTATAACATGTAATAAAAAAGACATTGCGTAATATTTAAATTTAATTTGCAGGTACAACGGGAAGATGAGAGGATGAACCATGGAATCTCGCAGCGCACCCCCGAGCCCCGACGACTCTGGGGAGGCGGTGTTTCATTCGCGACGTGGACGTCACCCCCATCAGCCGTCGCTGCAGCGAACTTTTGCCAGTTGCCGGGAGAACACGCGTTCAAGGCCCCATCACCGGCATGCCACGTCCGAGCCGGCACGCACCGACGACCGTGTACTCACCACGGCGGAAGTACACGACTATCCTTCATCGGAATCCGGTATCGCCGCGGACTGTTCTCATACTCATATGAGCAATAATGATGACAGCCCTTGTTACGAACCCTCCGACTTCGAAGGCATATCATCTTATAGTCTAAGACGTACACCAGATTACCATCATGATTGTAAGCATCTGTCAGTCGACTATCGAAGTCGTACTCCGGACTGCAACCACGGCCATAGCTCGGATTGCGATCGCGGCCATGGTCGCAGTCAAACCACTCACCGGCTCCATCGAAAACATAGGCATGCTGAAGATGACGGTGCACAGTCGTTGGACGAGCGTTGTGCTCGTGATCTCGATGAAATACTACCGGCAAGGCTCGGCGCCATTAATTTGTCACGGGAGCCACCGCCACAATCGTGGAATAGGAATAATATTGCGGCGACGATGGAGCGATTTGAACCAGTTGACTACTCATACGCGTATTACGATCATCAGATGTCTATGCCGTCTTCTTCGAGGAAAGCTAGCCGGCAGAGAGGGCGCGGTTTGCCAAGAGATCGCATTGCACGTCATAATTATGTGACCAGATACGGGACTGAAGAAAATATTTATGAGGAAATCACGGATGGATCCCGAAGCTGTCCCAAGCACCGTTATGGACCTCGACAATCTCTGGTTTCCTTGGACAGAAGTGTTGTAGAGGAAGAAGTTCGCCGAGTTGAGTCACGACATAAAAGAATTTTAGGCGAACTCAACCTAAGTGTCGAAGCTATGCTAATGCCAGAGTGCGAATCTCCAGATTCTGAGAGAGCGGAAGATAGAGACAATATTGAAGAACTAATGCGGGTTGGCCCAACCGACGAGCTACTTTCGCCTGCTAGTTGTAATCCTCCAGACTTGGACAGTGGCTTCAGCGGTAGTAGCAGTGGAGCTAGCTACGTTGGAAGTTTGCGAAGGAAACCTACCGGATCAGTGCCACATTTACCTGCGGTGGCGTACGGTACCCGAGGTGCGGGTGTGCGTATTTTAGGCGCTGATGACAGTGCCTTACGATGTCCAAGAGAAGTACCTTCCCCGAGAAGTTCAAGTTGCGGGGATGCTAAATCGACTGGATTCTGGAACAAAAGAGCGTGGAAGAAGATATCGGGATTTTCCAGTTCCAACAGTATCAACAAAGCTGGTCTAACAGGTGAATAAAATTACAAATATTTAAACTAGCATCAGTTGTGCCTCTACTTTTAACAAAAAAGATGAATCGAATAATAAATTAATTATACGTTTAGCTCTCATTATTATAATGCCAAGAAAAAGTTAATTTCTTAAATAATATTTATCGATGCTATATATATATATATATACAGCCAACACACACATAAATGTTTAGTTCGTGACACAACGTATTCGTATGCAAAAGACTTTTCCATTGCGAGTAATTCAAAGTTTAGAATTTTCTTTTCACCTTTTTGCCTCTTTTCATTCGCCTATAGGCGTTTTTCAATTGGACGCGCTCTCTCTGTTTGTTGATTTCGTTTATTTTGTTAACGGTGCGGCGTTTTACATTGCAGGTCTGCTCGTTAGGTACACTTTCCGGCGTAAGTCCGGCTCGCAGGGCTCTCAAAGTAAGCGGCGCGCTGAGCCCGTCAAATGTGATGCGTGCCTCTCACAACGATGTTAGCCGCACTATGGTAAGGGCCACACTGCACTACAAAACTTTTGTTTGCAAAATAAGAGTAAAGTATTAAGTAACGTACAGAATATATAGACTTTTACGTAAAACAGCGCGTCCATGTTTCTTAATTAACCATTTGGTTCAATTTCTCGTACACTTTGCACATCGACATATATCAAACAAAGCAATGCAAGTTCAGAATCAAAAACCTGTCAAATTCACCCTTATTAGACGGCATCACAGTTAAATTTAATTTCACCGGTAACAAAACAAAATATGGACAATAAAAAGACACATGCACACTCGTCATATGTGCAATAAAAGTCGACCGGCCTAAATATAAAGGAAAATGTCTTGGTTACAGATGAAGCCTGTAGGCCAAGCAGAACTAAATCCAGAACAGCTACTATTCCATACAGGTTAATAAATTTGTTAATAAATATAATTCACGTGTGTAGTTTTTGGCAAAGCATCATTATACTCGTTTCACTATATATATGTTTAATTATAATTATTCACCATAATATAATTTATTCATTTATTTTTATTCATTTATTTTAATTTACCCTGGCACAATGTTTATTTGAGAAAGCTTATTTATTTCGTCACCAAGCTTCAAATTATGTGAATGATATAAATTGCAATTTCTAACTTTAAAATTATACCTTCCAAAATTACCTTTGTTACAGCTACTCCAACGGAAAATTGGTGGTGCCGCTGGATTCCTTAACACAGAGCTGAGGAGTCAGGTCTCCTTGCAATACCCGCCTCGAACTCCTCAGAAGGGCTCCTTAGTACGAAAGTGCGACGCTGATGGGATCTATTCAATCACATAAAGATTGGAACGGTTAGAGAACAGATAAACAGCTTACGTAAATATTTCAACATTCCATTCTACGAATTGACGATGGGCAAAAATGTCTCGTAATTATTCCAGTGCGTCTCAAAGACAAACTGTCCCGGCCTGGCCAGGATGTTTTGAGGAACATGTGTGTATATAGTGACTTAGGTACAAGAGGCGAGTATACGTTGAGGTGATAGAAAATCCTAACTAATATTTTGTAACGTTATAACAACTGTTTCATAGAAACATAACGGCTATGTTGTTGTTATACTTATCAATTTTTAGTAGATAAAAAAGTACATGAAAAGGCTGAAACTGAATTTGATTTTACAAGAAATAAGACTTGATAGACGGTCATTTTCTTTTCAATTGTTATGACTTACTATAAATTAGCATGGTAATTTACCAGGAAAAAAAATATACTGCCTTTTTAATTTATATTACATTTGTTAAAGTATTGATGATCCACTCAAATCCTAAAATTAATGTCTACGACAAAGAAATTCATGTTTTAATATCGTTATTTAGACGAAGTCATTGTTAACGTTCGCTTGTAGGTAAATAAATGTACATCTTGTATATAATGCAGGCATGGTTCTGAAGCATTTTATGTATATATTTGAACTATATGTAATAAAAGTCGTAAATAATATCATGTATATTTTGCTTTAGCAGATCTGTGTGCATAATTTGAAAAAAATTAAAGTTTAAAACGTTCTTTTGATATAAAATACAACTATGCTTGTGTATTTTAAAACTTTACAACTATGTTAACAGAACTTTGTATTTGAAACATCCACTTCATGTTTTATATAAGGTAATATGGTATGTTGATTACATACATTCAAGGAAAAAACACTATACGTCTTGTATCATTTTGTCTAATATCAGCTTCAAATTAATTTAAATAAATAAAGTTAAAGTTTTTTAAAAGTTTTCAAGAAAAATTGCACGATATAACGGTTAAAACTTGGTTCTCATATATATTTTTCATTGCAAATGGCTACTGATATCGCGGTAATGGTAATTGTATCATAAATTTATGAAAATAATTATTTATGAAGTATTTTAAAATACAGAAATTTAATTTCACTTCAATCAAGTGCAAACATGAACTTAACAGAATGTACTCGTATGACTTAACACAATTGTTAATTGCACGCGCAGTAATTTTCATTATTATATCAATCGCCCTTTAAAAATGTAAATATACTGTAGAGTTATTGTTGGTCAGCGAGATTTTAATTTTGTACGTATTGTTCTAAGCTACTCGACTGATAAACATAGAGTAATCAATGTTATAAACTTTGTCTGTAAAATTAGTGATCGTGTTCAAGTCAAAAGAGATTTATATTAAATAAATATAAAAACAGTATTGTTTCAATTAGTGTCATTTAACTTGTCAACTTAAATAATATAATATCAATAACGCTGTTCATTCCTCAGAGTTATGTATTCTTATAAGGAACAAGTCTTATCATGTAATGCCTGTAAGTAAAAGCAAAAAGGATACTTTTTGGGTGATGTCGTTGAAGAAGGACAACGATGTTGCATACCTACATAATTTTCACTACTCTTTAGGTATCAAGTACACAGTCATCTTTTAATAAAATGACTTTTTGCTAAAAATAAAAAAGCGTCTGCGTTTAAGCTGTAGGTACAGTAAAAAAGCAACGCATATTTTTATCAAGGCAAACGATTTTATCTTGTAGACGAGCCAAATAAACGACCTAAAATTTACCACAATGCGCTTTGAATGGGTATAAAATTTCTCTCGCTCAGGGGGGAGCTCCACAAACGCTCTTTTGTTTGAACGAATGGGTTAATTGTTTAATTACCAATAAAAATAAAAATGGGGACATTCAACAAGGCTTTTTAGCGGACGTACAAGCAGCTGCCTCTGAGTTTTCTTCAGAAATGCCATCATTTTATTTTATTCTACACACGTACTTGCCTTTTGGAACAAGTTTTATCCGTGTGTAGTGGCACAATATGATCAAATTATCCGAACAGTACAGACCACGCTTTATGGTTCCATAAGAAGTGTAACGATGCGAATTTTGGCACTTTAGGATTTCCTTTTATCACAAAGCCTTTTCTAAAGCAATAAGGAACGCTAAAAGAAATTCTGGTCATAAGTTAAATAAATATCAGACGTTGGAGTGACGATTATGCATAATAATGACATTTAGTTTTAATATCAACTTCACGCTTAATCAATTCCTTTGTAATAGTTTAGCATGATATCCACGCGAGCACTAAGGAAATAACTTCAATTGTTTCGAATTAATATTTTATATGTTCATTGTCGGTCGGCTTAAATGCCCTCAATTCTTAATCATTCAAAAGATCATGCCATAGGTGACACTATGTGTTCGTTATGTTATATTAATTAAATAAATTGTGAATAACTTACTCATGAATTTAAAAGCAATGGTGCTAGGATCTCATTTCATATTAAAATTTATATTTATCGTCAATGTCACATTTGTAAAAACTTAAGTGTGAATATAAATTCAAAACAATAATCAAGCATGATTTCTAACACAACATACATCTAAAAATGTTTACAACAGATATGTTAAAACTAAAATAAAATAATACTGCTTCCGATTATTTTAAAGTTTCAAATAAAGAAGGATATAAGCCGACTAAAAAGAAGGATATAAGCCGACTATATTAAAAATACGCCTTATAATATCTATACGAATCACTTCTAATAGCTGTCTAGTTGATGTAACAATAGGCTCTTATATCCGCCGGGCCGAATTACCACACAAAGACCCCATTCATTAACGATACGATACGAGATCAAAGTACGGAAACGAAGCTTAACGAAAAATTGTTTCTCGAAGGGTAAAAAGAGCGTTTGGACTGATTCAATGAGAGAAAGTGATCTAATGGTCGTCGTAAAGACAATGATTTAGTTCATAATTGAAAAAGGCATTTGAGTGACCATGAACAAATATACCACTTGAAATAGACCAAGCTATATCTATTCTGACACTACTTATACTCGACATACTTTATTTAAGCCATGTTTTGTGGCACATGCTAGTATTGGGTTATTGATTGTCACAAGGTAAACCACTTTTACTTTATTAACATAAAACCACCCCATACCATCCCATACCCGTAACTCCCCATCCTCATAAATTGTACTGTACAACAATAACTTATTTATTGTTTGTAAAAGTATCTTGTTTGTCGAATTGGTCAAATAATACAAAGCTGAAAATTTAAATTAAAAGAAATACAAAAATTGCTTGTTTTTTTTTTCAGCACTATTATATAAGGTATGGTAGAAAGCAGTCTTTATTGCACCATAAAATCCTTTTAAAAAGCAAATATGGATAATCATTTACCAACAATCACTTATTAGTGATTATCATTTAATTCCATACTTTTTATTTTTAACCGACTTCCAAAAACAGGAGGTTTCGGTTGTATTCTTTTATGTTTTTAACCTCAGAACTCAGACATGATCCGATTTTAAAAAATCCATTGGATTCGGTTAAGCTCCCATGTAATCCAATATTTCATTTGTACTGGAACTTGGAAGCCGGAGATACATCAGGAAACTCCTCAAAATCAAATTGAAAGAAATGTTTAGTGGGGTATGGGTAGGAGTAGGTTTTGTTTTATGTTAATAATGATAAACGGGGTAAGAAAACGAAGTCTATATTATGTCCATTTTTTAGTAAAGAAACGAAGAACAAAGTGAAAAAAATAGTATATGTATTACACCGGGCTAGAGCCCGGAGAAATCATTAGCTGATTTAATGCCAATAATTTCTCCGGGTCGCCAATCTCCTCGTGCAAAATGTGGGTCTGCCACAAAATAACATCGGCGAAAATATTTGTCACAATTATTTGAAATATTGGTACAATTAGTTCACTCAGGCCATCACAGGCAAGAATCTGCCTGGTTTTGTTGTCACGCTGTTTGTACTTAACAAGTTAATTAAATCAAAAACTCACTAAGAATCTACAACAGAGAGAAATAAGACAAATGTTTTTGCAAAAATATTTGTAATATTTTTAAACCACACATAAAATCACCTTAAAAGTTACTTTAGATTAGCTCACAGAAGTCAATAAATTTTTGCCCAAGGGTAATTTACAAGGCTCTTAAATAAACATCTTAATTGCAACGGAG